AATTAGCACAGGTTTTTTATCTCTTTGGATTGATCTGAGCTTGAGTGAAAAGCATTATTTGTGGATAATTTTGGCAATGTGCACTCTGAGGTGTATAAGTTCAGATCAGCAAGGCCAACGATCCATCAGTTCTTGCGCTAAGTTCTTAACTTGTGCTAATTGAAAGAAAACAAGTTGATAAAAAATATTGAATTCAATATTTGATAATATAGCACAGCAAGAAATTTAGAAGGAATTTTTTTGTAGGCAGGTCATTTACTGTGTAACAAGGTTGGCGAAAATCATAACTTGTTAAACCCTGTGTGAGCAAAGTCTGTAAGGTTTAGTCCAATGCGATAACATTAATTAGTTATGGGTCAAAATGACTGAAACACATCATGAGCATCTGAGGTTCCATGAAGAACCCTTAACATCAATGGAACTTTTCCATTGTGTAAAAAGTTCTTTATAGTGGAAAAAGGTTCTTTAGATTTTTTAAATGTTCTTCACACTCAAAAAACAAAACGAAGAAGAAAAAAAACTTCACTGAAAGGTTCTTTCAGGAACCCAAAAATGGTTCTTTATGACATCACTGCAAAAAAACACATTTGGAACCTTTCTTTATAGGAGTGTATAGCTCCGTAACAATAGAATAGAATACAGTGCGCCTTGTAGCTGGACACATTGACATATCCATAGCCAAAGTTGTGCTGTCTTCGTAGAAATGTCAAATAAATATATGCAAGGTAGTGTCATTGTATTTGTAATCCACTAGCTCTCTCTCTATTTTTCTCGTTGTGCTGTTTGTGTGAGCACTGATTAGAGGGAGGCCTGTGGCTGAAAGGGTCCATGGCCCCTGAGCACAGCCTGTCTGTAATCCTGTTAATGTGAGCTAAAGAGACGCACTCTCCCCATACAGACAGGCTTTCAGAGCGCACACAGGACATTCCCCTCAGCACAAACTCTCACTGACCCACTTAGAGACATTTTTACGAGAGAAAATGGATAAATAAACTCTCAGAGGAGTTGGTCATTCCTGATTCAGGTGTTTTACTAAAAAGTAAATGCCAAACAAAGAATGTTCCCCTATTGTTAGCATATGCCTAATTTTCTTTAGGTTCTTTAGATTTTCTGTAACTATAATTCAGTGTTCTCAGAACACTGCAGGGAGGTAAGAACCTAGTAAGAACGTAGCTATATATAACCTTTCTAATGGTTATTTTTTAGGTTTTTATCAAAAAACAAAAATCCCATAAACTGAATGAGTGTGCTAAAATTAGCTTAATGGCTCTAGGTCCAAAAAAAAAAAAGCAATAGACTAGAAAACACAACAATTAATCAGTCCATCACGTAGGTTTCAATCTCCAGCGCCGTTTAATTTTGAAACCCTTTCAAACAAAAACAAAAAAGCTCAATTTCAAACACAACACACAAACAAATCAAGTATGTAAATACCCTATTACGTGCAGTTAGCATTCTTCATTTTTGCTGATTATAAAGCGCAATTAAGCACTTCAGCGTTAGCGCCTATTCACATCCCAGCTGTCCACCTGTCTGAGGCCTGGGAAAAGACCGGTCAAAATGACTGAAACACATCATGAGCATCTGAGGTTCCATGAAGAACCCTTAACATCAATGGAACTTTAGTTAAAAAAGTTTTATAAATTTAGTTTATACTAAAGTTTTAGTTTACTAAAGTTCTTTATAGTGGAAAAAGGTTCTTTAGATTTTTTAAATGTTCTTCACACTCAAAAAACAAAACGAAGAAGAAAAAAAACTTCACTGAAAGGTTCTTTCAGGAACCCAAAAATGGTTCTTTATGACATCACTGCAAAAAAACACATTTGGAACCTTTCTTTATAGGAGTGTATAGCTCCGTAACAATAGAATAGAATACAGTGCGCCTTGTAGCTGGACACATTGACATATCCATAGCCAAAGTTGTGCTGTCTTCGTAGAAATGTCAAATAAATATATGCAAGGTAGTGTCATTGTATTTGTAATCCACTAGCTCTCTCTCTATTTTTCTCGTTGTGCTGTTTGTGTGAGCACTGATTAGAGGGAGGCCTGTGGCTGAAAGGGTCCATGGCCCCTGAGCACAGCCTGTCTGTAATCCTGTTAATGTGAGCTAAAGAGACGCACTCTCCCCATACAGACAGGCTTTCAGAGCGCACACAGGACATTCCCCTCAGCACAAACTCTCACTGACCCACTTAGAGACATTTTTACGAGAGAAAATGGATAAATAAACTCTCAGAGGAGTTGGTCATTCCTGATTCAGGTGTTTTACTAAAAAGTAAATGCCAAACAAAGAACGTTCCCCTATTGTTAGCATATGCCTAATTTTCTTTAGATTTTCTGTAACTATAATTCAGTGTTCTCAGAACACTGCAGGGAGGTAAGAACCTAGTAAGAACGTAGCTATATATAACCTTTCTAATGGTTATTTTTTAGGTTTTTATCTAAAAACAAAAATCCCATAAACTGAATGAGTGTGCTAAAATTAGCTTAATGGCTCTAGGTCCAAAAAAAAAAAAGCAATAGACTAGAAAACACAACAATTAATCAGTCCATCACGTAGGTTTCAATCTCCAGCGCCGTTTAATTTTGAAACCCTTTCAAACAAAAACAAAAAAGCTCAATTTCAAACACAACACACAAACAAATCAAGTATGTAAATACCCTATTACGTGCAGTTAGCATTCTTCATTTTTGCTGATTATAAAGCGCAATTAAGCACTTCAGCGTTAGCGCCTATTCACATCCCAGCTGTCCACCTGTCTGAGGCCTGGGAAAAGACCTTGGCGCTGGTTCACGCCGCGGCGCCGTCATAGAATAGAATAGAATAGAATAGAATAGAATACAGTGCACCTTGTACCTGGACATACTGACACATCCTCAATTAGCCAAAGTTCTGCTGTCTTCATATTTCAAATAAATATATGCAAGGTAGTGTCATTGTATTTGTAATCCACTCTCTCTATTTTTCTCGTTGTGCTGTTTGTGTGAGCACTGATCAGAGGGAGGCCTGCAGTTGAAAGGGTCCATGGCCCCTGAGCACAGCCTGCCTGTAATCCTGTTAATGTGAGCTAAAGAGAGGCACTCTCCCCATACAGACAGGCTTTCAGAGAGCACACAGGACTTTTCCCTCAGCACACACTCCCACTGACCCACTTAGAGTCCTTCTTATGGGGGGAAAATGGATAAACATCAGAGGAATTGGTCATTCCTGATTCAGGTCTATTACTAAAAGGTAAATGCCAAATGGGGGGGAACCAATTCCTAATAATCTAGAAAAATGTTCTTGAGGTCATTTAGATTTTATGTAACTATAATGCATTGCTCTCAGAACACTGCAGGGAGGTAAGAACCTAATAAGAACATATATGGAATGTTATGGTTATTTTAAGGTTTTATAAACAAGAATTTTAAAAAATCCATAAACTAAAATTAGTGTGCTAAAATGATCTTGATTGGCTCTAGGTTTAAAAAAACAAACAAAAAAACAACAGAATTTTTGGACTACAACACAACAGTTGGTCAAAGTCTATCACGTGAACTTCAATCGCCAGCGCAATTTCTTTATGAAACCCTTAAAGCTCCATTTCAAACAAAACACACAAACATATCAAGTATGTAAATACCCTATTACGTGCAGTTAGTATTCTTCATTTTTGCTGATTATAAAGCGCAATTAAGCACTTCAGCGTTAGCGCCTATTCACATCCCAGCTGTCCACCTGTCTGAGGCCTGGGAAAAGACCTTGGCGCTGGTTCACGCCGCGGCGCCGTCTCTGTAAAACACGCAGTGCGCGAATGAAAAGGAGCGTAGAGCTGCTCCTCGCACAGCCCGCGAGCTCCAGGCGCTCCTAATAATCAAAATAAGACCCCCACTTTCCCTTCTCCGTTTGATCCTAGAAAGTGAAACTGTGCTAATTACCCGACGGAGACCATCTGGACTCTTCGTTAACCCTTCCCGCAGTGACTGTAGGCGCCAATAAGTATTCTTGAATTAAACGGCGCCTTCACTAGGAATCAGCGAGATCTGACATCGTTGTTTATCACTGAAAAAAAAAATCACTTCGCCTACGTGGTGAAAAAAACACATTCCCAATTCAAAAAATATACTGTGTATTTCTCTCACACCTTCAAGGGATTATTAAAATAAAAATGACAGCAATATAAATCTGAACAATTTATTTGAATGGCATTCCATACAGAATTTGTCGTTCAAACGCAGGTTATGCCGAGTAGAAATAATCCTGGTAAAGAAACACTTTCGCCTACGTGGTGAAAAAAACACATTCCCAATTCAAAAAATATACTGTGTATTTCTCTCACACCTTCAAGGGATTATTAAAATAAAAATGACAGCAATATAAATCTGAACAATTTATTTGAATGGCATTCCATACAGAATTTGTCGTTCAAACGCAGGTTATGCCGAGTAGAAATAATCCTGGTAAAGAAACACTTTTTCTTTAAAACAGATAAACATGTAACTATATACATTTAACATCTTAAATCAATCAAAACATTTTCCCCTCCGATTTTAGTAGTCAATAAAACATGTTAATTAATGTCCCATATTCACAGTATTTCTAAACTTTTTGTTTGAAACAAATAATCCAGAAATCTAAGATAAAATGTGCGCTCATAAGAAACGTTTTACAAAACCTGTAACTCACAGAGAGTTTTATGTTGTAGATATTAAATTCCAGCTGTTTAGGGTTAATACAATTTCTTATTAAATTTTAGGAGAATAAAAAAAATATATACCAAATTAATACAAAATATTTTTCCATACATCCCGCAACAGATTCTCGTTGTTCTTGCAAACATATTCAAAATAAAGAGAAAGCATAAACTATATTTTGGAGTAGGCTATCTTAAATTACAAATATTTCTAGAAGGTAATCTAGCTTGTCCTCTGTCCCGGCGCAGTAGAGCCATTCTCAGCTCTGCATGACCACCATCTAGTGGTCTGATAAGGAGTCACAGGTTTGTTGTACATTCTCAATGTTGTTCCTCAGGTAAACTGGGCTAATAGTTTTATATAATAACATATTCTGATATTAACAATATTGGAACAAAGTTTACCATTTTATTTTAAGAGTGTAAGTAAAAAAATGGCACCTGCAGTGAACGTCACAGGTGACAGGACTTGTGCAAGGTTATGTAGTAATGAACAAATACAAACAGGTGAACGCAGACAATTTAGCTGCTGAGTTTTTCCACTTCGTTTGATGTGGCCACTTCGTAAAGCTCTTGATGGCCTTCCTCCTCCCCTGGTACCTGAAATACATTCACATTTCCAATTAGCACATGATAAGACTGAATGTCGTTCAAAATACTCAAAACTGTCTCTGCATATTGTACATACAATGTCATACAATACTGCACATTAGGCAATAATGCCTAATAAGTCAAGGACAGGTAAGGAATCTAAGGTTAAAACAGGCTTACAGAATACAGCATAAACTATAAAATGCTGTAAAAATGGTACTGAAAAGTTTTTACCTCCCAGTAGAGTCCATCCTCAAAGCAGTGAGTATCTGGAGGAGCACCGTAAATGGGCAGCTTCAGAATGAACCCTGAGAAAAACAGACATATTATGTTTGATCTGAGATCGATAACTCACAATATACTGAACACACATGTATACACAGGGAAGCATGAACAATCTAATGTATGATTTTCTTTAAAACTTTGCAAACAATCGCTGTGTAGGGGGATTGAATGTCATTTATTACAAAATATTTATATTTTCTGTTTTGTTACTCAATGTTTTTAGTGTAGCTTTAGTCTGTGTTCCATTCACAAAGTTTTTTAACCAAACCAAACTGAATATATTATAGTGATCATTTTTGTTGTTGTCGTTTTTGTTGTGAATATTACAATATTATTATTACTATATTATTTATTTCTGTCCCAAACTGAAAATGAAATGAAAATATTTGCCATTTTACAATTAATAAAACATTAAGCTCTATGCATTTTGCCTTGTTTATGTGTTTTCAGTGTGTGGCACAAATGTGCGTTTCAAAACATGGCACAGTATGATAACAGTGCAAAACTTCAAATTGATAAGATCAAATAATTGGCCTAGTGGAAGCATGCACTCACTGCACTTTCAAACTGTACACCCACCTGTAATGAGACCACCAAACAGAGCCATTCCTAGTGTGACGGCCAGAGAAATAGCCTGAAATCCACCCCTAGATTGAGGGTTCCATTTCCCAGTTTCAACATCAGCGAAAACTCTTTGCAATCTGAGTAAGATGGGATACAGAGGCACATACAGTGTGTGTCAGTTCTCACTAGGGTTGGGAATCGAAAATCGATTCCAATTCCAGAATCGGATACTTAAGGTCAGGAATCGGCTACTTGTAAAATTTAAATTTGGATTCCGCCTATCGATTCCTGTGAGCGCTTTTTTTCTTTCTTTTGTTTCTCTTCGTCTGTGAGGACCCGGCCATGGCGATCTGCCAGGACTTCAGCCGTGGTTCGTCCGTGCTGCGAACGAACAGTATCACCAGTGTGATTTGAACATTCATATATGCGTTTGCGCTGCCGCTGACCTAAAGGGAGCAGCTGTCATGTATGAAACAGCTTCAATGCAGTCTTTTCAACTACACAGTATTATTATTTCTGCGTTACAAACATTCAAATAATCACTAACTATGTTTCTATCACTCTGTTTTAATGCGCATTTTGAAGTATTGCATGAGAAACGAGTGATGGAAAAGCCAAATTTCGAAAAGAAATCCCTTAATTTGCAAAAAAGTTTTTACGCTCGCTTGAGGTGGTTTTTGACTTAATGCGAATAATGGGAGATGGAAACGCATTTTGCGAATAAATCCCGCATGAGCGTTCAAAAAAGTCATGTGACTTTGCACTATGGGACAGCATAACCTGACTAATCAGCGCACTGATTTTGTTGCACAGCATCTGAAATGTTGTCATGGCCATTTCTGTATAACTGCCTCCCAGAACGGTCTACCATGACTGCGTTCCCAAACAGCAGATATTCACCTCCAAAAGCAAGACCGCAATTATTGTGTTTTGTCTGCTCACTCAAAGCACAAGTAATTTATTATATTTAAGAATTATTACATTAAGTGGCTTCTCTTACTTTTCTTAGTGACATTTAGTGCCAGTTTATCAGGAAGTGACGATTTTGTTCTCCTTGACTCGTTGGATGGAAACAGTGCTTGTTCGCAAATGTTTTATGCGATATTCCAATTTTGCGCACAAGTTAAATTCGCAACTTTGGATGGAAACCCAAGTACTTCCAGAAGTACTGGGATAAAATTTATATTTCAGATATAAACGCTGATGTGTATGGTAGTGATCAAAATAGAGTCAATCACCCTTTGAAAGTAATTTGACACTTCAAATAAAGATTTATTGATCACATTGTTATGCCAGTAGGTGGCGAAAAGGGGCTGTTAAAATGTATTTGTCTTTGAATCATTTCAGAGAATTGTTCAAAAATGCTGATTCATCCAGTAATGAAACAAGTAAATCTTGATTGAGTCATTGAATCGTTCATTCATCAATTACATCATGAAAGCATTAAAATATATAAAAAATAAATCGGCATTAAAAAAAAACTCAATTTATCAAGAATCATGCAGCTCTATTTTGCACACAAACAGCTCTTAAACGAGTCCAGTTTTTATGTAGCCTGCTGATTTTTGTTCATGGTATTCAGCTGCAACTAAATGTTTTGCAAACAGAGACAGAATAAATTTGTTTGATATTTAAATGTTTGAATTTTTTTATCACACTGGAATCGAAACTGGGAATCGGAAAGAATCGGAATCGATAAGCAGAATTGGAAAATGAATTGATAAAATTCAAACGATTCCCAACCCTAGTTCTCACACAGAATGAGTTCTACAATATTTTCAGCCATGACACACAAGTATGCAAAACAAAGCAAAACTATTAACCTTATTAAATAACATTAATTAACATATAAAATATGAATACAATTATAAACGATACTGTTGTGTGACAGATGTGTTTGTGGACCAAATCAATAACACAATCACAAATCATTAATTATGCAAATTACACACACACACACACACACACACACACATATATATATATATATATATATATATATATATACACAGTATATTAACTACTGACTTACCCAAACGTCTGGGAGCTGCAACTAAATGTTTTGCAAACAGAGACAGAATAAATTTGTTTGATATTTAAATGTTTGAATTTTTTTATCACACTGGAATCGAAACTGGGAATCGGAAAGAATCGGAATCGATAAGCAGAATTGGAAAATGAATTGATAAAATTCAAACGATTCCCAACCCTAGTTCTCACACAGAATGAGTTCTACAATATTTTCAGCCATGACACACAAGTATGCAAAACAAAGCAAAACTATTAACCTTATTAAATAACATTAATTAACATATAAAATATGAATACAATTATAAACGATACTGTTGTGTGACAGATGTGTTTGTGGACCAAATCAATAACACAATCACAAATCATTAATTATGCAAATTACACACACACACACACACACACACACATATATATATATATATATATATATATATATATACACAGTATATTAACTACTGACTTACCCATGTCCATAAACGTCTGGGGATGCCAGGGCAGCGGTGACCGCACCCACTACAGCTCCCAGAACCCCTGGCATTCCATGCAGGTTATGAATGCCACAAGTGTCCTGAATCTTCAGTTTCGATTCCAAAACCGGCTAAAAGAGCACAAAACAGCAACAAACGTGATACTGAGGCTTCTTGTGGATGTTTATAGTTATGTGTCAGAGAAATGTGCGCTACTAACCGTGAGGTATTTGTATCCCAGAACTGAAATAGTTCCAGCGAGGAATCCAACGATCATAGCGCCAAACGCAGTCAGCATCATCTCTCCAGCTGTTCCCACAGCAACACCACCAGCCAGTGCGGCATTCTGGATGTGCACCTGAAAAAGACAGAGGCTTGTAAGAGGGTTTGTAATGTTGCAGTTTGTAACGTAGTATCAAAGATAGCCACAAGGGGATGCTCACCATGTCCAGTTTGCCTTCGGGGTTGACTAGGGCGGAGAAAGCGAATGTAGCCAGTGTGCAGGCAGCCAGAGAGTAGTAAGTGTTCATGGCGGTTCTGTGCTGTGGGTCACCGTAGTTTGTAATGGCTGAGTTGAAGCTGGGCCAGAACATCCACAGATAGATGGTACCTGAGCAGAACCCAAGCTTTAGTGGATCAGAGTCCTGGTTGATCACAAGTTAGAATTTTTTAGGTGACTTACCGATCATGGCAAAGAGGTCAGAGTGGTAGACAGACGAGTTTCTGTGTTTGCTCTTGTCCAGGTTTGGCCGGTACAGCACACGGGTCACCATTAGGCCAAAGTATGCACCAAATGTATGAATGGTCATGGATCCTCCAGCATCATTGATCTAGAGATACCGTTAACATTTAAATTTGTACTGTCATGTTTACACTCATAAATGTAAGAATATAAATATGTATATAGTTTTTGAACTCCATATGCAGACTGCAACTTATTTGTTTTTAGCTTATTAGTTTTCTCTGTGGATATTTAATTTAGATGTAAAGTAAATGTAAATGTGAAGTACTCAAATGTAATCTAGTAGAACTTGTTTTGTTAAAGTCTAAGGTGGAACTGTAACTACATATTATATGCACATCTACATTTGGCCAGACCAAAAAATAAATAAAAGACACATATTTGAAAGTAATATATACGATAATTTATAATGGCATTAGATGTAAAGAGAAACCCATTCATACTCAATCTACTCAGGATGCAGGACTTATAAAATAGTTTACAACAAGCTATACACTGTGATTATGATAGTAATATCATGAATTTGTCTTTATTATGCTGGCGGGAAATATTAGGGGCATAATATATAAGAGATTTTTTAATTAGCTGTATTGGTCGATATTGAATATTTAATTGTGTATGCTGTGTATGTCATATGAAGCATTTAAAATGATAAATTTTATTTCATTTTATTTTTTAATGATTTAGACAAAACACAAAAAAATTATTTTTGTATTTATCATTTATCTTCCATTACATAAAAATAATTATTGGTTTATAAACCAGAATTTCGATATTGGTGCATCCCTATCAAACATGTATCCAGTATTTCAAAAATTCACAAGTTATTCAGGTGAAAATCCAGATTTAGTAACAATTAGCAAAATCTGAAAATTCCAATGATCTTTGTTTGTGCTTTTATAGATCAGACAGTGCGTTTACACTCACCCCAAGGATGGAAAGCAGGATGAACTCATTGACAGCGAACAATGTCACCTCAAAAATGGCCATAACAAGTAGTTGCACAGGACTGGTCTTCCCCAAAACGGCGCCAAAAGAGATCAGCACGGAACCAGTGCAGAAGTCTGCATTTATCATGCTGCAGAACAAACATATTCACTGTGAGTAATTATAAATACAGTAGTGCAGGTGTCTGTGAGTCAGGGGCTGCAGAGTCTAGTCATCTGCTCAACCACCACATCCACTTAGTGGCGCTGTGTTCAGCTGTAATCTACTTTACACCCAAGGCAACAGCATCAGCAAATGTTTTTGACATTATTTTATCTGACTGTTGTAGGCCTTTGATAACAGATCTTTATTAGCCACTACTGCTGCTGGCCTCCAAACATCACCAGTCTCTTTAAAATGCAGATTACTGGTTGTAAGAAACAAAAACATAAAAGTCATATGTGGGGTTCAAGTTTTACCTAGTCACGCCAACATGGATTTTGCCATGGTGCAAGCCGTGGAAAAAGCCCTGCATAAGTGTGGCCCACTGTAGGGAAAAGGCTGCGATGAGGAAGTTAAATCCGACGCTACTGAATCCATAACGTTGCAGAAATGTCATCAGGAACCCGAAGCCCACAAAGATCATGACATGAACATCCTGGAAACCTAAAACACAAAGTCAGTTAGCTGTTTTCCCTATTCTTTCCCCTCTCGTTCTCACAGTTTTACATTTTTAATAGTAATCTCATAAACTGCAATTGCTCACTGATATGTGTGTGGACTGGACACATACAGAAAATTGTTTTTTCTTACATGGGTACTTAGCAGCACCATTCAGGGCCAATTTTACACTATGGGTATGCTGAACCCTACATTAACCCCCATGTTCTTCTCTGTGTAGAGCCATTCATTCACCCTTTTCACTTCTTTTGACACAATTACACTGTTGCCAAGCAACTGGCCATTGACCTGGGCACCAATGAGGATGGCATGGCCCCTGTGGGCAAACTGTCCCACATACCTCTCACACTCACCCTTCTTTGGCAGCCCATAAATAAGTCTATGAGCTCTATGTGTAAGCTGAGTTTACTGCAGGACAATTAAGTCTTTTAAATGGATAGTTAACCCAAAAATTATACTAATGTCTCTCCAAACCTAAATAACCTTTATTTATTTTGTGACTCTCTTTTTTTGGTCTAAAATAAAAGTCAGTGGGATCCAAACTGGTTGGACCCCACTGACTGTGATCATATGAACAAAATATCTTCTTTTGCATTCAAAGGATGAAAGAAAGTCATATAGGTTTAAAACAACAATAGGGTGAGTAAAGGATAATGGAATTTTCTATCCCTTCAATTAAATCAATAAGTGAACTGTGAAGCAATGTATTTGCATCCTTACAAAGTAGACAACCTAAACTGTGATTGGCAGAGCATTATAATTTATTGTATTTGAACATAATATATAAAAATGTGATTCATCAATTGTCATACACCCCTGAATGCAGTTGTTTCTCATGTCACACCTGTTGTTATGTGTCCTGCAGTTGAGCAATGACAAGCAAAACAGATGTGACCACTACCCATGAAGGTAAAATTGCATATTGTTGAAGATTAGGGATCAAATACTGTACAGACAAGAAGTCTTTTACAAGACAATAAAATCCCTTTTCTTTGCAGAGGATTTGCCCCTTTTTCTCTTTATCCTACCTAATATATGCAGTATTCTGTTAAACCTGATAAGTTAAGTCTGTGAAATCTGTCATGATTTATGCCATTGCTAAGTCATTGTATATAATTTACATGTAGGTGTGTCCTGGATTTGCAGTGCAGACATAACATGAAATGCAATAAATGTAATTAAGTGCTTCACACAAGTCCGGTGCTGAGGGCAAGTTTAGTGCAGATCGCAGAGATTAAAGGACAAGATGAGGGTTTAGTAAAGCGAGGTGGTTGGGAAATCCAACTACGGTTTGACAAGAAATGACAAATGCACAAAGACAAACCCAAAATAAACAATAAATCAAGCTTTTAAAGAGATCAAATTCTGAGTGAAATGTAAACGTGCTTCACTTAAACCGGTCAGACCACTCAGTTCAGGACGATGTTCGTCTGTAAGTACGACCAATCAAACACATTCCTCGGTTATCAAGTTAAAAGGCACCACGTGTGTTTCTACTGGTGAACTCAATAGATTTACAGATCCATATTATTGTTATTACTCAATAATTACCCAGTTACATGATCGTATCAGATCCACAAATATGTTCTCAACAATGAGTGCTGAATATAAAATCCAGGCCTATTTTTACTAGTTTTCTACGCAGCATTCATTCAAAAGTGTCACTTACTGGGATAACGATAGTAGAACTCATTTTCATGATCATTTCTAGTAGCACTATCGGTTCTGTTTTCATTCCACAGCATGGCATGAGTGTCATCGTTATATTCCACCAGCGTTCCAAAGAGGATGATGAGGATGACTTCCAAGATGATGCATAACAGCGGCAGCCGTAGCCTCATGTTAGTAGACTCAGCCATGGTGCTTCCCCTATACAAGTATCCTTTGCTCTCTCTCTCTATCCCCTTTCCTCTTTCTGGAGCAGGGCGCAGGCTCTGATGGGTCTGGAGGCAGAGTGCAAGAGAACATTAGCTGACACAAGTCTTTTTATTGTTAGTTTTGCCACTTGTGATCTTAGTAACGCCCACCTGCTCTCTCAAGTCTGCTGATTTGCAGCAGTTCTGGGCTCCTCCCTCACCTTTTTGCTCATGCACGAGGAGTACATTTTTGGCCAATGAGAATATTCAAGTAAAATGTGAACAATTCTATTACAAAAGAGCAATTTTTAACAGGAAGGTCAAATAGATGGTCAAAGATTTGGATGGAAAGTTGAAGAAGTGATTTCTAGATTTTTCTCTAGATATGGGTAATTAGACGTATTAAATGGCTAAGTGGAAATAGGTCCAGTATATTGAGGCCGATAATGATCAGTGTTCCATTAATATTGCCAATGTGGGATGTACATAGAAATCTAAAGGTGATAGATGTGTCTTAGTCATATTTGAACATGATGGCATATGTTTTATCCACATTTAAAGCAGTTAAACTTAATTATTACAAACACATTTTTTTCCCACAACTTCTGTCCCCCAGGATTCACTTTCAAACACATTCCACAACAGATACATACATTTTGAATTGACAAGGACATGAACTCAAAACATTCAGTATTGGTACTCAGGGCTCTACAGTGCGACCATTTCAGTCGCATTTGCGACTGGAAACTACTGCGTGCGACAAAACCCTTTTGTAAGGGAGTTTGCCGATGTGATATTGATTTAATACAACAGTTCATTGCACAAGAAGTTAATATTAAGTGACTTATATTTTCTGACTACAACACTATTGCCTTAGTTTGCTCTATTTCATCAACGAAAATAGTTTAAAACAAAGAACAGCTGAGCCGCTGCACATCTCCATTCAAACACGGCGTTTCGTTTATGAATGAACTGCGTTTTTTAATTAATCTAGTGAGTTAATGATTCAATTACCCATTCATAAAGAAAAGTCACATACTGCGTTCCTGAATGAATCAGCCGTTCGAACGAATCAATTAAATGAATGATTCAGTGATAAAATCAGTGACTTACCGCCACCTGCTGGGATTTTAGTTTCATTTTTAAAGTATCTTTTCTGTTATTTAAATCATTCAATATTTCTATATTCTAAATTTTATATTTAAAACATTAACCTCAACATGAATTTAATTGCACTCATGCGACCTCTGAGCCTCATTAAACGTCTGAAAATACACATACAAGCCACTTGTGTGTTCTTCTGTGCCATCTCTCTAGTACAAATGTATTTCTTAAATACCTATTTTCATTTGATTGGTAACTTATTCTTATTCTACTTGTTTTTATTCTGTTGTTTTAATTAGAAATATTAAAAAGCTTATAAATATATATTTTTTAATTTGACATAAAAGATGACATGTTTTTAATAAAGTTAGATAAATGCCATTACAAAGGTAAAAACAAAATTCCCTGTAAATCACTTTGAGTCAAATATCACCTCGTAATGGGAAGGTAAATTTTTTATCAGAATTTTTTTTATTATTGATTAGAAGGTGCTCCTAAATTTTGGACCATGCTCCTAAATTAAAAAAAAAAAAGAGAAGTAAGTGTAGAGCCCTGGTACTGATTGATGAATAGTATCTGTCTTTATGACAGGTGACATTTCCGCTAGAGATTGGATTTGAAACTGCAAGTGACACAATGACCTGAACTGTTTGCCTCATATATACAATGAAAAACAGCTTTACAATTCCACTGTCATATCTATCTACTCACACACGAAAGTTTGGATTAGTAAGAATTTGTAAATAATGTATAATAGTGTATACAATATATAATGTACAAACAGTAATATTGTGAAATATTATTACAAATTTTTTTTTCAATTTGAATATATTTTAAAATGTAATTTATTCCTGTTATGAATCACATGATCCTTAAGAAATTATTCTAATAGTCTGACTTAGTGCTCAGGGAACATGTCTTATTGTTCTGAATATTGAAAAGTTGTTCTGCTTAATATTTTTGGGGATTCTGCGAAAAAAAAGAATACAAATTTAATAGAAAGTTCAAAAGAACAGCATTTATGTTAACTTTCTGTAACAATGTAAAAGACTTTACTGTCACACATTTCTGTCACAATTTAAAACATCCTACCTTAATAAAAGTATAAACAATAGTTTTACTGACCCCAAACTTTTGAATGGTAGGGTCTATATATATTTAATAGTGCAAAATATTAGTAAAAATACACGTGTAGGCAGGAGTAACACAAGAAAATGTATCAAATCAGTGACTTTGTCGAATCCAGCAAACACCCCACTGGCTGGTTTAAACTGTTTCTAAATTCACAGGAATCATTTCTACTGTAATGTTTATACAACACCGTTGATAAAGGCCTTCGGCTCTCTGGCTGACAAGGGCAACTTAAAAGAAAACATACAAAAAAGAGTGTTTAATCCCTCCTTGCACTCTTGTGGCTGAAGTATGATAAGAGGATGAGACGTAATTCTACACGCTTTGGAAACAAAACAAAACAAACAAGAAACTTTTAAGTGTTACATTCTGTGTGAATGAGTTATAAAGTCAAACATTTTGCAGATAAACAGATTCTAGTAATGTGTGCTGATAAAGAAAATAGGGTCAATTTTGATTTCATGTGGCCTTAAACAAGCTGACAAAATGTTAAAACAGCCTTGCGGAAAATAACTAAAAACTATTTAGGCACAGCTTTCTGGACTGACCCGAAAGCTAAACCCATCAAGTGTCACTTTGATTCTTCCGGGTCAACAGTGCATGACCTTTGATCTCTTTCACCTCTGCTTTCATCTATGAGTAGCTGAAGAGCACTGGGTTCACAAACATCTGTGTGTACAAGTCCTTTCTCAAATCTCACTTTTGTCTTTCAGGCTCCAATGTTTCAAGCTCAGAAAAAGTGATTTGGATGTGTAAGTATGAAAAGGAAACATATATGTCTGTAGGAAATAATAGGCTAATATGATAAGTACACACTCTCCTGTCTGAAGTGCTTTTGAAAGGAGTGAGAAAAAAATAACATTGAAAGGAGCAGTGAAGCTCTCATGAACAGAAGTTTTAACAAGACAAGACATTCTCTGCGTGAACCATGCAGCACATTGTACACCAGAGGGAAATTCATGGTGCAGGAAAAATCAAGTCAAACCTGCACTCCCACTAAAGTCAAATGTCACTGCTTTGAGTGCAAATGACAAAACTGAACAATTATTAGGTGCTCAAAGAGGTGAACTTGGTGGTAAAGGCCTGTAGCTAAATCTGTACAAGATAACACCACTTCCAAGAGATTCTCTTCATCATCTACAAAGCTACTGCCCAGTGGGGTCTTTTGAAAGATCTTGAGATCCCGTACTTTGGGATTCCTTTGCATGCAGCTACAGGCTCTGGTACACACATCCATTCATCATCTGATATCATACGAGGCAAAACAGTTCAATTAAACTATAACCAGTGAACCGCTAAATGCCATTCAGATGCTGAATGTATACTTTATATAGGCTAACTGGTGTGAAGGAATGCCAAGTGTTCTCTTTCCGACAAAGGGACAAAATAACATTGGTTATGCAATGATGAAGAGCTGCAGTAATCATTAAGGAAGCAAACAAAAATGACTGTGTTGCATCACAGCAAGATCGATAATTTTAACAGCTATCGATAGGAAGATCTATATTATATCTTTAGAAAAATTACAGAAGTCATATCTGAACCCCTTAGATTATGTGTTAACGTGGAGTGAGTGACCTCGTAAAAGTGTTTAGAAACATCAACAAATGTGTTATATTGACAGTAAACAAACAAGAAGCCTAACTGTCCCTCTTTGAGTCAGAGAGCAGCCTGAGGTTAAGGACAGGACTGTTACCAGAGCATGACAAGTCATTTCACCTTGTCTCTTTTAAATCAGTCTTCAACTGATAAAATGTTTGCACACTCTTTTTATGCTATGGAGGTCCTGGACATGTGATTCTGTCACAGGCACCGTATATATGAGGTCAAGTTACACAAATAAATATATGTGTCTTTTACATCTCTATTCACACAATAAAATGATGATGTAAATTATTATGTACCAGTATGAAAATCTAATTTCGACAGATAGGTGTCCTGTTCCTCATGCTGGTAACTATACCAGACATCTAACAATCAAACAATTAACATTCAAACTGTGCTTCTGGTCAACCATAAAAATATTTATATAACCGAAAACAAGCTGAGAGTTCAGCAATGTGGAAGCTATCTCTAATTGGTCAGGAAGGATGGGTCTGCATAATTACTTTCATAATTAAATTTTTCACTGCATCGGCCTATATTAAGTGGACATTAGAGTATCAGACTTCACTGTAACGGTTCACAGTAAGAACAATAACTGTATTAGTGTCCACACCATAAACATGATAAAATTCCATTTATTAGAAACACACAAAGCAGTACTGTTGTCTGCTGCTTTATTACACATATATAAATGATTAAACGAACAGACCTTATTATAGAAATGTGTCCCCAGATTTTTTTCTGAACTAATTTCAGTAGAAAATCTACAACAGAAGCAATAAAGAAGGGTTTTGTAAGTAAAAATCCCATTCATTTTCTCACCTTTGTCTTTTATTTTTATTTTAAAGATTTTCATATATTTTTTGATTCAAATGTAGTTTGCAATGTTTCGTCTCTGGCCTAATTGTTTGCGCTCATGGTTTTTCAGTCTATATATGAGTTTGGTTTTTTTAATACTTATGTAACGTTAGAAAATGAATGGGGATTATAATTGTGTTATCAGGGCAGCTGGAAAAGTGATTAATCACGTTACGAAAACCCCTCCTGAGATTTGAATTCGTCTGAAAGTTCCCTCGCAAAACCACTAACGTTAATGTTAACTTATCTGTCCCAGCCTCCACAACGGTTAGCCCTAACTTACAGTAATTAGACATTAACCAATATGCAACAATTCTTAACAAACCTCAAGATGCTAACCATATAAATCTGAAATACAAAATATACCTCAAATAAATATATAAAAGGAGTAGACTCTCAGAATGTAATTCT